TCTAGCTAAGCAACAAAAGTTGTGGCCGCGGTCCAAAAACCTTGCCCAGGCCTGAATTCTAACCAGTTACACTTCTGGAGTCTGGTATACAATCGTGTAAAAATAAACGAATTTCTTTTGTTATCGATTGGAACGTGGCCTTCAACAAAAGAAAAGCGAGCTTGTGTTATTAATACCACGACGCTGGTCAATAATCAGTTCAAGTTATTCTTGAGGGAACGAAATATTAGTCCATTTCCGGTAGTCCCGTAGTATGTGTACCAGGTTATGTGTAGGGCATATTTTTATTTCGATTTTAGTTCTATCACGAGTTCGGAGACGGGGACTGTGTTGAGCCGTGAAATCCACAGAAGGATAATATTTGAATGAGGTAGGAGTTACCCAGCAGTTGAACAATCAGTTGAAGGAAATCCTATTGCACATAGCCAAGCCCACAGGCTTGAAACTGGCGAACCTTTGACGGTTGCTGATAATCTTGCAATAGGGGGCAGGTTTCTAATACCTCAACCAGTGGGCCACAGACACATTTTCAGACGGGCCACAAATTGTTAGACTTATTGATAAATTATTTAATACTATTGATTGATAATTTTCGTTTTAATTATTTAAGTGGGAGTGCATATATTAGCGAAAAGAACTTTTTGTTTTCTTGTAGTTTTTCTCTTTCATATAAAAGTTAATAAATCTCAGAATTTTTTGTGCAACGAAAATGGGCCACGAAAGAAAAAAAGGTTGAGAACCACAGATGGGGATAACGTATTTAGAAATCTTGACCAACAATTTATTTTCCCTTAAGACAAAAATAAAAGTGAAGCGCCTATTCGCATAATTTCATTGGGGATTACGTGATTTGGCTCAGAGCTTTGTTTGACTGTGCAAACTTTGTTGACGTATGTTAAGTCTAAATATACTCAAGTGTTTATCTCGTTAGTTTTAGATGAATGATAACAAAAGAAATTCGCTCAGTCTTTTACCATTGTATGTTCATGCTTGACATTGAAATGTGCTTCACAATACCGTTGTGTATTTTGAAGTGTTTTATGAAGATCCGAAATTATTTTCCAATATGAACATACAATGGTAAAGGCTGAGCGAATTTCTTTTGTTATCATTCATATTGTTATCATTCAGAACTAACGAGAAAAACACTTGAGTGTATTTAGACTTGACACAACAGAATGGTCAGTCATTAAGCGAAGCACTGTAGTTGCATTTTGCTCTTAGAATTTAAGTGCATAGAACATTTTTTTCTTAAAAAAGCGTATGTAAGTAATAGTTAATGTCGTGTCCGGAAAATTCAGCGCAGGAAATTTCGCCGCATAGGAAATTTCGCTGCATGGAAAATCGCCGCAGGAGCATTTGCTATAAAACAGGTATTTGTGAAAAAAAAACAGGTCATAGGGTTAGGGTAGGCTTTAAAATAACGAATCTTTTTTTAAATAAAAAATTCCCTCAAAAACCTTGTTTTAATACAGCAAAATTTTTTGCGGCGATAATTGATGCGGCGAAATTTCTCGCGGCGTGATTTCCTGCGGCTAATTTTTCGTAGAACCAGTTGATATATGTGCCAGTTGATATAGGTGTTACTGTTACGCCTATCGCCATATAAATGTTATAAATATTGTATTATATTATTATATCGCACAAGCAT